CCCTTTTAAATTCAAGATGTTCATTTGTTACTTCTCCCTTTTTTCCTTGATTAATCTTTTTTTGAAGTGACAATGCATTTAATTAACGTTTTATTTCATTCATAATATCTGTTTCTTTCAATTATAGCATTTCTGTTTAGATTTTTAAAAATTTTGTTAGTATATAATAGTTGTACAGGGGGATGCGTCATATTTACATATGTGCTTACAATATCTTAGATTTACCCCATCCATCGTTCTCCCTCTTCTACTCTCATCCTCTTCTTAAAACAATTTCAAAAGGTTACATTATTCTATTTTCATATAGTTTTCTTGATTAATATTGCTAAAGTTTTATTTCATTATTCTTTTAACAAATCAATGTATGGTTTTGTTAATCTTTTTTGAATTTTGTTTTATTAATTTCAGTTTTTAATTGCTTTTTTTCCCCCTCTGCTTTTTTTTCTTTAAGTCTGTTATTTCCCTCAAACATTTACTTTTCCTATATCCTACAAGTTTTGTTTTGTTTTGTTTTTTGGCAGAACTGGGGTTTGAACTCAGGGCTTCATGCTTGCTAGGCAGGCACTCTACCACTTGAACCACTCCCCCCCACCCCGCCTTTAAAAAAAAGTAGAGATTTAATGCTGGACATGGAGCACACCACTATCCCCCCAGCTACACAGGATGCTAAGGCAGGAGGATCAGTTGAGCCCTGAATTCAAGACCAACTGGGCAACACAGTGAGACCATGTCTCAAAAACCAAAACATAAAAGTTCGCTAGATGGGGCTGGGAATCTAAAAAATACCCAACACAAAAAAGGGCTGGTGGAGGGTTCAAGTGGTAGAGTGCCTGCCTAGCAAGTGTGAGACCCTGAGTTCATACCTCAGTACCACCAAAAAAGGAAAATTACTGATAAAACCCTCTATACTTGCACTCCATATCTTCTCATATTTACTTTTAATTTTGTTTTTTTGGGGTGTTATTTTTTTGGCAGTACTGGGTTTTGAGCTTTATGCTTGCTAGGCTTGCTCTACCACTTGAGCTATGCCTCTACTCTTCTCCCAACTTGAATTTTTGATGTGCTATCATCTTTCTGCATTGCCTTTATTCTAACATATTAATGTAGTTACTATTATTTTACATTGTTTTCTTCTTCAGTTTACATATTTACAATATCAGAGCATTCTGAATTAATGTAGTTACTCTTACTACTTTTATACCTTCTTATATTTCTTTCAGCTTTTTGTTTTTGGTACTGGGATTGAACCTGAGGCCTTTTGCATGCTAGGCAAGTACTCTATCACTTGAGCCTCATCTCTAGTCTCTTTCCTTCAGATTGAAGAACCTCCTTCAGCATTTCTTGTAAGACAAATCCGGAGGAGATAAGTTTTTTCTGTTCTTGTTTGCGTGGATATATCTTTATTTTTCCTTCATTTTTAATGGATAGTTTTTCTGGGTGTAGTACCCTTTGCTGCCAGTTTTTTCCTTCAGTATTGTGAGAATCTCATGTCACTCTCCTTGCCTGTGAGATTTCTGAGGAAAAGTCTGCTGTCATGAAAATAAGGACACCCGTGTGTTGCTTGTTACTCTTGCTCCCTTTAGAGTCTTCTCTTTAGCTTTAATCTTGTACATCTTGAGAGCTTGTTTGGAGGTTCTAGCAGGGGAGCGCAGCTACTCGTATACCCTTGACCAAAGAACGGTCCTCCTCTATCGGGGATGGTCGTCCTCTTCGACCGAGCGCGCAGTTTCGGGAGGGACGCACATGGAGCGGTGAGGGAAGAAGGGGACACCCGCCTAGCCAGCCAGATCAGCCGAATCAACCCTGGCGATCAATGGGGTGACAGATGTCGCAGCCAGATCGCCCTCACATCCAATCTTGTACATCTTGATTTTGATATGTCTTAGAGTATTCTTTGAGTTGAATCTGACTGGTAACCTTTGACTTTCCTGATCCTGGTTAGTTGTATCTTTCTCTAGGTTGCAAAGTTTTCAGTTATCTCTTTGAATAATCTTTCTACCCATTTGACATTCTTAAGCCCCTTTTGAGCCCCAAGAACTCAAATACTTGCATTTAATACTATCCTACATTTCCCATTGGTTTTTTTCAGTTGTCTTCATTCTTTTTCAATAGCTTGTCTTCAAGTTTTTTTTTTTTTCCAGTTCTGGGGCTTGAACTCAGGGCCTACACCTTGAGCCACTCCGCCAGCCCTATTTTTGTGTAGGGTTTTTCGAGATAAAGTCTCATGGAACTATTTCCCTGGGCAGTCTTCAAACCGTGGTCCTCCTGATCTCTGCCTCCTGAGTAGCTAGGATTACAGGCATGAGCCACTTAGCAAGATAATTCTTTCTTCTCATCATATGCAACACTCTCTTTACATTGAAGGGTTAGGTTTTTATTTCAGTCTTCATAATTTGACTTTGGTCTTGTTCCTCAAATTTTAAGCACTCTGCTTTTGCTGAACTTTTGAACACATGCCCTATTTCAGCACTAGATGGCACTCTACATCAGGCTTCCTGTTGGTGTGTTGCTGCCTTAGTACTAAAGGGTACCCCAAGCCCACATTTGTCCCAGATTTGCAGTTGATTTATGGTTCAGAATGAACTGGTAGAGTGTCTTGTAGGATTGTCAGACCCTCTACCTGTTGCTGGGATAAACCCAGACACCTCATCCATCATCACTGGCCTAGGGTTAGGTACCACAGGATTCTTTCTGGCTCTGGGTATCACCATGAAGGGACCAGCCCCAACCTCTTACCCAATGAATTTGTGTCCACCTCCATTTTCTTCTCCCAAGCAGTTTACTCTGTTTTGTCCTACCTGAATTTGGGGGAGAAATGTGGTGGGCAGTCCTGTAATTACCAATGTAATTACCAATGCTGCAGTGCTAGGTCATACATGGAGCCCACAGCCTGCCAAGACCAGCACAACAGGAGGTACCACCAAAGCCCACACTTCTATAGGCAGCCTGCTCTGTGGCAAACTCATGGCTCAAGATCACTGCAACTAGCCCCAAGTGATGCTGCACAGAATCTTAAGTCCAATCAACAGGTGCTAAGGGTCTCTGCCTGGCACCAGGGAAGGTCCAGAGGCACTGACCTGGGGAAAAGGGACCATTAGGATCTGTCTCATATTGGGTTTTACCCGCCCCACAACTGAGTTCCAAGACACAGTCATGTGTGCTCACTCTCCTGTCCTATATCCCAGTGACTAGTGTCTTGCTTCTTGCTCAAAGTTAGAGGGTCAGTAGCGGCTGTCTCTTGGCCACCTAAATGGAACTAAGCTAGGTTACATCTGAGTCTCACAGCAGCAGGGACCTGTGCAATCTTGTGATTGTGCACAAGCACATGTGTGGCTGCCAATGATACAGGCCAAAACATGAAACATGAGTCTGTCCCACCAGAGTCAAGTCTTCACTTGATGCTGACACAGGTCTGGAGACTGTCTGTGGGCACTGGCCTAGAAATAGGCTTCTTTTTATTCTAGCTGGTGCTGGGTCTCACCACAGTGGGCCCCACACTGAGTTCTGAGGTGAAGACTTCCCTGCTCCCACTTACTGGAATCTTGCTCCATGCTCTGATGCCTGAGTTTGGGAAAGGGCTGGTGGGGGCAGTCTCTTGGCCCTTTGGCAAGGCAGATGCAGAAGGTCACTTGGGTACTTGGCCTTGGGGCAGGGACATGGGCCCATCAGTCACTGGGTTTCAGTTAGCAGGCCTGGCATTGGATTTTAAGTCTAAACCCTGGACTTAATTTGCTGTCCCTCTTACAAGTTGGAGGCATCTCTCTCCACACTATAGTGTTTGGTGTTGGAGGAGGGGTGATGTGGGAAACTCCTTTTTGCCTTCTTCAATGTGTCTTTTCTTATTATTATAATAAAACACCAGGCACTGTGATTTTATCACCTGTCTTCCTTAGCTCTTATGAAGGTGGATTAGTGCATGAACAGCTGTTCAAATTGGTGTCTCTGTGGGAAGATGATCCAGATGATAGATTCAATCACCAGTGTCTTACTCAGCCACCATCTTGCTCCCAATCCCCTTCCTTTACTTCTTTAATCGTGGATTCAGTTACCTGAATACATTTGTAAGAGTGATTTTGAAGGCTTTGTTACATTTGACATTTGCTCACTCTCTTGCAGTTTACTTGCCTTCTTGCTGGTTGTATGTCCATACTTTACTATTTCAGTGCATGCTTAGCAAGCTTTTGTTGGAAACTGGTACATTTTAGATCATGTATTTTAACAGCTTTGGGTACTGGTCCTCCCTTTTGGGGCTATTATTTGCTTATTTGTCTAGTAATACCATGAGCTACTCCATCCACCCTTTTTTTATGATGGGTGTTTTCGAAATAGGGTCTTCCAAACCATGTGTCCAGGCTGGCTTTAAACTGCAATCCTCCTGATCTCTGCCTCCTGAGTCACTAGGATTTCAGGTGTAAGCTACCAGTGCCCAGCCATGCTGAATTTTAATGGAGTCTGTTCTTATCTTCCCCACTCCTTACCACACCTTATGAAGTTCAGATCTGGGAACTGAGTTTGGTAACACACAGTTACTCTGTGGTGACAACAGTTTTTGCAGTTTTCTTTTGAGTTTCTTTCCCTGACCACACCCAACAGTTAAGCTCCAATTATTTCCAGTTGATTGCTTTATTGATTTCAATAATGCTGGAGCATAAATTGTTCCACAGACTAAATCAATCAAATCTGAACTCTTTTGCAGGAATAGTCCTCAAGGTCAGTGCTTAAAATTTCTTGTGCATCCAGCTGGCTTTTTCTCAGGTTCTTTGAGGCAAACTAACTGGCCTACAGTTTAGCTTACAGGTATAATCACTACCAGTCTTATAGGTGCCTTTCACCACAGCCTCCACTGTCTTTGAGAACATTCAGACTTGAATTCACTACTCTTTGAGAACAGAGTTGGTTCCTGTGGGAAGAGGCAAGCTGTTATCAATAGTCTGCTTCTCTCCCCTGAGGAAAACCAACAAGTCAGAGAGTGAGCTAGGAGTGGGGACAATGACATGCTTCTCTCTTGAGTGACATCCTAGCTCTAGGAGCGAGTGCTAGATGAAGAGGGGTGACAACAGCCTTCTATCTTTTTGGTTTCTCTCTTCCTTCATAAAACTGCCACTTCACATGCAGGGCCAAAGGGTCCTTAGTATCTTTAGCATGCTATGCCCAACTCAGAGTCTCCATTCAATGAATGGGATCTGGGTAGGAGAATGGAGCCTCCATTCTTGACTGCAGTCACCAATTTAGTGACCAACTGTGAAATGCTGGCATCTTACTCTCCTCCAAACCCCAAGGAAAGGTAGACCTTAATTGAGAATTGGGAGAGAGCGAGCTCTGTGCCCAGGCTGGCTCAGATGTGGAATTTTCATCTGTCCAAGTTGGGGGCAGGGAGGAAGTGGTTCTCAGTAGAAATATCACAGATTCTCCCTGTTTCTCCTGATTTCTAGTAGACTGTTTTGAGTAAATGATTTTTTGATAACCTAGATGACCTTAGAATTTCTAGAGACGTTAAATGCTTTAAAAAAAAAAACTTTCACTTAGCTACTCTAGGGTACAGACTTGCACAACCCCTCACTTTCATTTTTATTGACTAAAGTGTTTAGAGCTATACTTTTGCCTCTGTTCATTGCTAGTGAAGTATTCCACGGATTATGATATGAAATATTTTTATTATTGTATTTCAGAAAAATCTGTTCCCGTTTCAATACGGAGTTTCATAGAAAGTTTAAAAAATGTACAGGTGATTGAGCCTGTTTGTAATATTTCTACTTTTAAGAAATCACTAATTTTTTTTAATGTATGCTAGTAGAATAAATTGTCATGGGCTGTAGGTTGGCTCAAGTGGTAGAGCACCTGCCTAGCAAGTGTGAGGCCTTGAGTTCAAACTCCAGTCCCTCAAAAAAAATTGTAAATTTTCAACATGTGTTTGAGAAAAGTATGTGTTTCTAGTATCAGGGTTTGTGTAATCTCAAAATAATTACCTTATCAATTATGCTGTTCAGCTCTTGTATCTTCATTCATCTTTTGTCTGCTTGTTTTTTTTATTAGTATGGTAATATTGAAGTATCCTATTAATTTGTTTCTATTTCTCCTTGTATCGCCTGTCATTTTTGTCTTATATAGGAGGTAGCTTAATTATTTCATACACAGATATTCTTAACTGTTATACCTCCATTGTGAAAATGTGACCATTTTGATCTAAATTCTGCCTGATTAGAAATAATTGTCACATAAACTTCCAATTTAGTTGTTAAAATTTGTTAATACTGTAAAAGAACAGCAAAACTATTTATGTTACTTTCATTTTCCAAAAAGAAAAAGCCTTTCTGTTTTCATTTTCAATCAGCAGTTGCAAAGGATCTACCAGTAGATTCACTGGAAGAAGATTTTGAGAAGGAGTTCTCATTTTTGAACAGCCTCCTAAGTCCTAGTTGTTCAAGCACAAGTGAATTTACCCAAGAAAGCCAGACTTCCTGTGGGAGCCCCAGTACCAGTCTCACATCCCAGGAGCCTTCTGTGGCATCTGAGCCTCTTGCTCATTCCTCTGGATTCCTTCCCTCACAACTCTTTGACCTTGGCCTTCATGCTGCTGGAGCTTTCAACAGTAAGTGTCTATGAACCGTTTGGACATGTATCTTATTTTATCTCTGTAAAGCAGAAGAAGATCGATTTTAACTACAGTATTTTCTGGATAAAATCTGCAGTCACATCCATCAAGTGGAAAAATATTAAGTCTAATCACACTACCAACAAGTCTGAAATAAGGTCTGTTTTTTTGTTGCCTTTACCAAACCCAAGCACTCTTCATTGACTTTCCTAGGTATCTGGTTTGCATTTGACCCATGAAGTTCCCCCTGGATCAGGTGATACCACTGCTTCCATGAAGAATGATATAAGAAAATGAACAACCCTAGCGGTTAGTTCCAGGGCAGCCTTCTGGGCAAAGCAGAAGTGGAGGATGCTAAAGCTGGTCATGGTTTTCCTGAAGAAAGGGTCACCTGCTTTGTCACTCACCCTGTAGCTCCACCATTGTCAGTCCAGCTCTGCACCTTGGGAAGTCATTTTACTACTCACAGCCATATTGGTTGCCAAGTTCTGTCCATTCTGTTTCTAAAACACTTCTTAAATTTCTTGCTCCTATGTACCCCCATACCAGAGTCATCTAGCGACTCACTTGGTTTCCTGTGTTGCTAGCAGGTCTGCAGTTCCCAGTTCCTCCTCCATACTTCCTCCAGAGTTATTTTCCTAAGAAGCAGAGCCTGAGGTCAGCACACTGCCTACATTTTTAACAAGTGAACACCGCTGGCTCTAGGATAAAACCTGCCTGTGCCTGCCTTCCACTTTTATCTCCTGCCTTACTTCAAAGTACTTACCATTTTCTACCACATTTGGTTTTCAGATCCATCTGAGGCACATTTGTGTTGCTTCTTTAGCTTAAGACGTTCAGAAACACAGCTTGGACCTCAGAATAGGATTCTCCATGATGGCCAGTCCTTGAATTCTCAATACTGCCCTGTGGAAGTGGCTTCTGCCTCCTCCAGCCTTCCACAGTACTTTACTTGTTTTCATAGCTATAGTCAGAGTTTATCTACCTTTATATTCTGGTCTTTTGTCCCTCAGATTTTATTCTTTGAAAAACCCCCACAGCACCTAGCGGTGTCTTAATGCATTATACTTTGCATTAAAATACTTCTGTTCATACTACATCTGCAAGCATCCCAAGGGCATGATCTGTGAGGTGATTCATTTTTGTGCATTCTATGACAGCAGCATAAAGTTCTTTCAATAACTAAAATAAATGTCAGTTGGACTAACCACTCAGTAAGAATTTATTGAATAGCCTCAAGGTAAGAATAGGCAGGATTATTTGATAAAGAGACACTCTTATCTAGGATAATTCAGGTGTTTTGCTATGGTACGATTCTAGTAAAAGACATCAATGGCTCAATCATTATAATTACAAATCAATTGATTCTCTACTATACACTCCTACTTCTCTTTCTCCTTGACTTGTCACACCTCTAGCAGCACTGGATTTTTCTCCTAGCTTCTGACAATGCAGTATCAACAATATTTCAGCACTCAAAACATTTGGTCTGGCCCCTGCCTGCAAGCAGACAGAATACTGTCATTTAATAGTTGAGGCAAGTTGAAACCCAGTGTTTGAGTGGCTTGCTCAAGGTCATGGAGCAGTTTAAACTGTTAAGAGGGGAGCAGATCTGCTCTCTTGCCTCTTAGTGAAAGAATAGACTTCACCATTCTTTCCTTTAGGTCCACTTGTTTTTTTCCTGTTATGTAGATCAGGCAAGTGAGCTGCTTTAAGAATTAAAAAGATACACACATTCTAGGAACCCCATCTATCTTAGTCTGTTTTCTGCTGCTATAAGTAAGTGTCATAGACTGGGTAGCTTATAAACAATGTAAAGTTTGGGCTCACAGTTCTGAATGCTGGGAAGTCTTAAGAACATAGTGCCAGAATCTGGCCCATAATCCCCTAGGGGAAGGTAAAAGGGCAAATGGTTGCTCAAGACAGAGGATGGGGGCCAAACTTACCTTTTTATCAGGAGCCCACTCCTGTAACAACTAACCCTCTCTCATGGCATTAATCCACTCATAAGGGCGGAAGCCCTCATGACCTAATCTTTAAACCAGGGCTGGTAGAGTGCCCACCCAGTAAGCACAAGGCCCTGAATTCAAACCCTAGTACTGAGGGAAAAAAAAAAAAGGCTCATAATGACAATTACACTCACTTTGAGCCTCAAATGATCCCCTCTCTATAAGGAGGAGATTAAATAGTCTAAATTTTTCCTAGGGCTTTTCACTATGGCATAAGTGGTTTTTCATGCTGAGGCAACCATTACCCTGTGTTCCCAATACTTATTAATTTCATAGTATCTTGTCACTTTATATAACATAATCATTTTAATTCCTTTCTTGCTGTTTGCTTACTACTATACAATTTGGTTAAACATAATCATGCATGTACTTTTTAAAAGTTAAATTACTTCCTTAAGATAAATTTCTAGAAATGGTTCAGTGAGTCCAAGGTTACAAATATATTGATGAGTTTCAGCATTCTAATTCTCAAGCCTTTTCCTGATGGCTTAGAACTTTTCTTTCTGTGTCTTCTCAATTTGCAATTTAAAAAACATTTCTTTAAAAGCCACTTTTTATATAAATTTTATTACGACATACTCATGATACAAGGGGAGTTTCATAGTAACAATTCCAATTAGACTTATATTATACATTGGTTACATTGCCCCCATCGTCTCTCCCCCTCAGTCCCCCTCCCAACCCCACTTAAAGCAATTGCAAGAGGTTTTCTAGTTCTGTTTCATATAGGTATATGAAGTCCATCTTCCATGTAAAAGCCATCTACCATATAAAAGCCACTTTAAAAATATATAAGGGTATCTAATCTAACTCTAGATGGTACCAAACTTAGATGATTGAATAAAACACTTAACTGTACTGAGAGTTACACCTTTTTTTTTTTAATCACCCTGGTATGGACTGGAGAATTTAAAATATTTTTACCTTTTCTTCTTTTACTGACACTGCTTCCCACTTGATTAACAATGGGCAATTCTTTCTGTCCTTCTCCCAGGCTGGGTCTCCCAAGAGGGATTAGAACATGCTGATGGCCTGCCAGTGCCTTTACAGAGTCCAAAGAAGGTAACAAGATGTAAGTTATTTATTTCTTTCCCACTGCACAAAGAAGCAGTTGAATTCAGATACACTTAGAAAAGGATCACTTTGTAGTCTTTGCTCCATGTTCTCCAGAAAAAATATTTTGTTAATAATGAGTTAGTGTTAAAATGAAAGCTGTCCTGGCTATGAAAGCTCTGGATAGTAACTGTGAGCTTGTCATAACACACTAAATTCCGGACTGCAGTCTGTTGTATTTTGTGTTAAGGTTTGTTGGTAGTGGAGGCATCATTTGGGATGGAAGATGCTTTTTTATTTTTTTTTAAATGCTGGTGATTGATCCCAGGGCCTCATGCATACTAAGCACTGACTCTACCACTGAGCTACATCGCCAGCTCCCAGTTTTTACATTACAGCTTAGCAATTTATGTTACGTTTCTATGAATCAGATCTTCACAAGTTTTTCATATCGAAACTCTAAAACTCCATACTCATTAAACAACTCCTTTCCCTCTGCCTGTACCCCTACTAGCTATATTCTACTTTCTTTCTTTTGAGGCAGGGTCTCACCATGTAGCCCATGCTGGCTTAAATTCATGATCCTCCTGCCTCAGTCTACAAAGATCCAGGATTACAGATGTATGCCACAACACCCTACCTTCCATGAGCTGAGAACTGCCCTTCAACAAATGCATGGGCTCTTGAGGACAGTCAATATTCAAATTATAGCAAATACAAAAAGGCAGAGGTACTAAGGAAGATGCTATTTACCTGTTATCATTGAGGCTGATTTGGGAACAAAAATAGGGACTGGGGATATAGCTCAGCAGCAGAGTGCATGAGGCCCTGGACTCATTCCCCAGCATCATGAAACAAAAACCCAAAACCAAAAACAAGCTAGGTGTGGTGGTAAACACAAATAATTCTAGCACTCCACAAACAAGTAGGAGACTGAGGCTGGAGGATTGCAAGTTCAAGGACAGCCTGGGCTACACAGTGAAACCCTGTCTCAAAAATCAAAAACAAGTAATAAATGAAGTTGGATCTGAATACAATGCGTTCTATAAAATATTATGTTAGCAAAAAAATTTTAAAGAGCACATGGAAAAGACAAAAGAAACAACTGTAGCCCCAAATGACAATTGTTAATAACTCATATTAACAATGAGTTAATATGGTAGGATTAGGAGGATTTTCCTCCTTATTTCTAGTATTTTTGTAATAAGACTTTTATATTATAATAAACACACACAGACCAAGCACTAAGTTTACAAATGTAATCTCTTACTTGGTAAGAAAAAGATACTTTCAATCTTAAACCTTTATAGAACCCTTCTTCTATAATTGATCTTAAAATTAAATGTTCTAAGACACTGCTTTTGCCTTTTCACTTTTCTCTCAAGTCCCTTCTCAGAGCCACGTGCAATACCTAATCCTGGGAGCCTCGGCAAAACACTAGGCGTCTGCCTCAGTTTTCAAAATTATCCTGAAGAGGATATAATTGATTATTAGTCAACTTTTTATTAAAAAGCAGCATCTACTTCAAAATCATAAAAGTGATACAAAAATATTTCTTCAAAAAGCTGAAACTCTTCAATGTGTTTTTGTTTGTTTGCTTGTTTTTAACAGCCCCTGGCAGTGGTAACCAAGACATGTCAGCCTGGTTCAATCTGTTTGCAGACTTGGATCCACTTTCAAACCCAGATGCTATTGGACACTCAGACGATGGGCTTCTTAATGCTTGACTGAGTTAAGCCACTTCAGGGTCTCGAGTCATCAATTCTGCAACATATGCTTTTGTGGAAGGAGGTTTATATTGCAACCCCCATGCAAAAGCATGGTGTTTGTGAATCTAACAGCTGTAAGTTGACTTTAAGCAGAGGATAAGGACACATTTGAATAGATAAAGTATATCTTTAATCTTGGATTTGTAGCTGCTGATGCTATATGGAAAAATTTAAAAACTACTGAGTGAGTCTGCAATATTCAGATACCAAAATTTAATGTCTAAATAACAGGAATAATTCTGTCACTAAGGAGTTGGGCTTGTTTCTTTGGAAAGCATTTTATATTTAAGTTGCCTTGCTGGATATGAGAATTTTATATGTAGATAAAAGACAGCATGTGAATTGGGTTGTGTTTTAGGGGTGGTTTTAAAAAGTGGTGGGGGTTCTGTTGTGGAAAAAAGCACTGGAACTAGAGCAGCTCATCTTTGGTTAGAAAGGTAGACTGAGATTAGAGAACTCAATTTGCTTGAAAGAAATCAGAGAAATTTGTACTTGCTTTTTCTCCATGTGGAAGCTAAAATGTAATGTTACCTTTCATTCGCACAAAATCATGGATACCCCCAATTCCATTATTAAATTTTCATGGGGGAAGTAGCAGGATGATTAATTTTCCAAACCTATCCTCCACAGAAATGGGGAAAAAAATCTATCTTCCTATCTCATAAACCATAATAATGTACAGCCATATTCAAAGATATATTCAACCATGTTCAGCCTGTTTCACACACTACTACAGTGACACGCAGGATACATATTCTATTCCTAAAATTACTTAGAAACATCTGCCTGAATGAGGGAGACAAATCCTAAGCACCTCATCCTTACACACATTTGCATACCTACTCCATAGTTCTTGACAGGATTTAACCCAGAGGTACAAAAAACCCTACACAATCAATAAGGAAATGTCTTATTTTCCCACTTCTCTCCTCTGTGGATGACATTATCTGAGGCTGTATTTCATGATTAAGAAAAGCTGTTACCCATACAGAGTTTAGAACCTAAGTTTTAACGGGAGGCTATTTAACAGAGGCTATAAAAACTGATGAAAAGAGAGCTACTGTGCACTACTGTGCACACATCAATCACCTTTTTTTTTTTGCTCACCTTTAGTTTTGAGACAGTTTTCCAAGTATTTTTTGTTGTCGAGTCCATTGTAACTCCGTAAGAAAAAATGTTAGTTAAGCTATTCACTCTGGTTTTCATGTGTTTCTAGTTCAAAACAGGCTTACTTAGAAGAGAACTGCTTGTAATGGCTAAGTCACTGTATATAGTAAACAATTTTTAGGAGTGGACCAGAGTAGGTAAAAATGCCATACACTTCCCATCCATGGCAGTCTGGCCTATGCACAATGTTCCCTACCTGCCCATGTGCTTTCCAAGAACCACCACTATGGCCAAGTATGGCAGAGGCCGGAAAAACCTTATCTGAGCATCAGAAGCTCAGGCTAAGGAAAGGTTAGAAAGTCTTTCCTTAATATCTTTTCACAGTATTATTCCTGTTTTTATTTGGTTTTAATGAGCTGCTATTATCTCTTCAGAAGCAACTTTTTAACTCTTCCTTTCTATTCAGTGAAGAACTTTCCAGAATACAATGCTACCATGTTCTGTCAAAATTTAATCATCAAGATTATGATTATGCATCACAATCTAAATTCTATGTTCACAGTGACTCTAGTGCTGTTAACTGAGTGCTTCAAAAAATGCTGACTTTATATCTTGGGTTTATGCCATTTTCTTGGCAATGGCAACCCTTCTAAAGCGTTCGTTCACAGATATTTGTGCATCACCCTCACAAGCATGCAAAGCAGCTCTTGTTACCTGGTATACATGAAGATATTTCAACAGAAGCAGCAGCAGTTCCTACAGGCCAGAGGCTTGAATCCCTGACTATGAATGTGAAGAGATTACCCTCAATTTCTAATGAGCAAGATGACCCCAGACTGAAACCCATGAAAGATTTCTCCTATTCAGTTTTTCATTTCCTCTTTCAGCAGAGTATGCAGAAGCAACATTGACTGCCTCGGCGAGTCTGGTTAAAACTTCACATCCACCAACTCCATTTTGAAAAGCATATCAGTAACATTAAATGAAAGCTGATGATTAATATTTTCTCAAGGTTATTTGAGGCTCAATCATAATGATTGACAGTCACTAAGAGACATTTTGCACTATTAAACTAACATTGACATTGGAAACCAAGCACACATTCAGTAAGGGGACAGGGAAGGCAAAGTAGGCAGTCACCAAACAGCAACTAGTGACTCTTGTCTCATTCTAGGGCATCCATGTAGTAAGAAGGAAATTAATTACCCTGAATCAAGAATAGGCTGAGAACAACTCTTTCAAAATAGATACCTTTTATATTCAATGGGGGAATAGCTCTATTTTATAACAGATAAAAATGCATCGGAGGTAAGAAAAGCCCAGCAGAACTAACTTGCCTACTCTTCCTACAACCACTTTGAAGGAGAAGCAGATATACCAGGGCTTAAGATCAGTTCAGTATACTTTGTATTTTTTGAAATATTTCTTTTAATTGTAGAACATAGCTCTGTTAAAACTAGAAACAAACTGTTTCAACAAAATAAGTGTCAGTATTTATACATTGAACAAGAAATGTTTGTATTTCAGCTCTGTGTATTTCTCTCACATAACTGTCTTTACAGGCCATGTAGAAATGTAGAGGGCTTAGAGCCTTAGAACAAAGGAAGTTTAAATGTGCTCTATTTTTCTGAGCCTCATTTAATAAAAGATTGCAAGATGGCATAAAATGAAAACTTTGTTCTGTACAAATTCAATTGTTGTTTCCCTATTTAACAACTTAGTGTTTACCTCAGGATCACAGTAGTAAGGAATTAAATAGAACTGATAAAGGCACCTCAAAATGAAAGTAAAACCAGGACAACTGATGTCCCTGTGAGACAGAGATAGAAGGGGATTACCTCAGAGGGATGGAAAGAAAAGAATGTGTGTTCTCTGTGCAGATGCTTTTAGCAACAGACACAAGCAGCCATGTGTAAATATTCAGAATCTAAAGTAATAACCAGTGAAATATAAGCCATAGTATTTCACCTGATCTGTTGAAGGTGGGAATAAAAAGATGAGAGCCAAAATCGATCTTGTTTTCCATAATGTTGGAAGGGCCCTACATGTCTTTACCTTGAGCAAGGAAGCAGCCTAAATCTTAGAACACAAAAGTTAGGAAGGAAATAAAACTTTAAAATATCTACTAATCTAATAGTGCTTAAAATTATACATTTGAAACATATAACAGTAAGAAGTATAAACATGGCAAAGAAAACCTATGGACAGGCTGGGGAGAAAAATGGTTGGTTAAAATGGGTCACATTCAGAAGCCCAACCTAGGCCAGGAGCAGTGGCTCATTCCTATAATCCCAGCTACACTGGAGGCAGAGATCAGGAGGACTGCAGTTTGAAGCCAGTCCAAGCACAAAGTCAGCAAGATCCCATCTCAACCAATAAAAAGCTAGGCATAAAAATAAATAAAAAGCATGTGCCTGTCATCCCAGGTGTCAGAGGCATAAACATGAGGATAGAGGTCCAGGCTGGCCCAAGCAAAACACAAACCCCTATCCCAAAAAAAACTAAAGCAAAAAGGACTGGGGGTTGTGGTTCAAGTGGTATACTGCCTGCCCAGCAAGCTCAAAGCCTTGAGTTGAAACCCCAATACTTACCCCAAAAACCTAAGAAACATCCTAGCATAAAATATCTTCTTACATCTTCTATGTACCAGGCATTTAAAGTCAAGATACAGTTTTTCATTCTGTGGTGTAAACACATCATTGGCCACAGAGTACGTACAAAATGGAAATCTTAACTGGTTGGTGTTAATAAGTAGGATTTTGTATGTGTGTCAAAAGGATTTTTTTCTTTCTTTCAGGCAGTGCTGAGGTTTGAACTCAGGGCCTCACACTTACTAGGCAGGCATTCCACTTGAGCCACTCCACCAGCTACTTTTTTGTGTTATTTTTGAGATAGGGTCTCACAAACTATTTACTCTGGGCTGGCTTGGTGCTCCTGATCTCTGCCTCCTGAATAGGATTACAGGCATGAGCCCCCAGCACCCAGCTGGACTTTCTTCTTTTTTTTTGTGGGACATGAGTTTGAACCCAAGGCTTTGTGCTTGATAAGCATGAACCCTACTGTTTGAGCCACATCTCCAGCCCCCTTTACTTGGATTCCCATTTTGCTCTGTTTATTTTGGATTGTTATTTGACCCTGGATCACAATCCTCTGAGCCAGCACACCCAACTTTCTATCATGAAGATTGGTTATTCCCCAGACTTGTCTGGAACCTCCACCCTCTCCATCTCAGCCTCCCATGTAGCTTGAGATGACAGGTGTGCCTCATGTGCCCAACTGATTGAGATGGGGGCCTCACAAAGTTTTTTTTGGTCTGGGTTGGCCATGAACTGTGATTGTCCTGATCTCAACCCCCAAGTAGCTAGATTACAGGCGTGACCCACTGGCACCTGGCTACTAAGGTGCTGAAGTGTTATTTTTACATTTGTATAATGTATTTTTTTAAAAAAAGCTTCCTATTTTCCTGTTGCCTCAGTATCCCCACCAGGGGTGTCCTTTTCTACCCTTCTCCATCACAATCATTTAAATGCACCAGTGAGATCCACTCACACCTTCAGACATGGAAGCCCTGTGCCCCCAAGGCACTGTACCTGAGTCCTACCTCTCTGTCCCCACCTGCTTGGTAAAGCTCCCTCCCTCCATGCTATCTTCTGAGTGAGCAGTGGCTGTCTCTTTGGACTTCATCCTTTACCTGTACCTCACTGAACATCACCTAAAACAGCCACAACATTTAATTTTTTTTTTCATTTCGAAGTAATATTCTCTAGGAAAGAAAAAATAATCATTCACACTGTTACTATGCAGAAATAAGCACTGTTAGCATCTTATATCTTATTTTTTTATAGAGCCCTTGGGTATACATTTGCATTGTGACTCAGGTGACTTCATTTGATTGTCTTCTCCCTAAAATAGATCAAGTTGAAATTCAAAAATTATGTTTGTGGGCCTGGGGATGTCGCTCAGTGGCAGAGCACTTGCCTAGCATGTGGGCAAGGTCCTAGGTTTGATCCCTGAACTATAAAAAAAATTAAAATTACTTTTGTTAAGTCTCTGAACAAGTCAGGTAAAGGGACAAATGTACCAAAAATGTGACTGAATTAGTTTCACCCTCTCTAAAGAGGTGCTCCCCAGATTTAAAACATTTAATTTTCTGCAGTTACTACAACATTAGAAACTAGACAGTGGGCTGGAGGCAAGTCAAGCGTGAGGCCCCGAGTTCAAGCCCCAGTACTGACCCCCTACCCCCAAAAATTTTTAACAGAGCTGGGATATAGCTTAGTATGCCTAGCATGGCACATTAAGGGTCTGGGCTTGATCCCCAGCACTGCAAACAAAAAGTTTTGCACAATTCCCTCCTTATGTACAAATATACTCATTTTCTATTCTGCTTCATTTACATTATAACCTTATAAGCTTACAGCCTTGAACTCTTGATCTTAAAAAGTTGGGTGGAGCCAATTCAATTCACTTCAAGACCCAAGCATTTTGAAAAACACTGAACTAAATAGTAACAAAGGCTACTGGTAGATCATACCATGTTGTATTAAAAGTCTTAAAAAGATATTTACTCTTAATGTTAGCAAGGGAAAAAAAATCCCTGCTATGGTAATTAGCAGGAAACGTCTGTATGAGGATACTAACAGTTTTCACACATTTGCTCCTTTCAACCTCATTAAAGGTGGAGAAAAAAAAGATTCAAGGGAGAAAAACTTTGTTTTTTTGTAGTGCTTGGGATCAAACCCAGAGCCTTATGAATGCTAAGCAGGCGCTCCACCACTGAGCTGTATCTCAACCAAGAAAGGGAGAAAACTTGATGTGCCAGTATGAGAGGTTCTCCTTGCATTTGATGTTATGTTGAACTTCATTTGTAATGGCTAAATTCTGCTTAACTTTTTTCTTTAGGAACTTTTACTTTTTTGGAGATGGTCTTTCTATATAGCCCAGGCCAATCTTGGACTCTCCACCTTCCTGGCTCTGCCTTCTAGTGCTGGAATTACAGGCATATGGCACAAGGCCTGGCTCAGAATTTTTTTTTGTATGCAGTACTAGGGTTTGAACTTTGGGGCCTTGTACTTGCTAGGCAGGTGCTCTACCACTTGAGTCACAATTCCAGCCCCTTTTTCTTTTATATTTCCAATAAGTTCTCATGTTTTTGCCTGAGGCCAGCCTGGATTACAATCTTATTTATGCCTCCTGTATAGCTAGGATGACAGGTACATGCCACCATACCCTGCTTATTGGTTGAGATGGGGTCTTGCTTTTTTGCCTAGGCTGGCCTTGAACCACAATCCTCTTGATCTCTGCTTCCTGAATATCTGGAACTAACAATAATGAGTCAGTAGCAAGCCAGATTTTTTTGCAGGGGGGGAGGGGTGGGGTTTGAACTCAAGGTTTTAAGCTTGAAAAGCTGGTTCTCCTTACTGCTTGAACCACATTTAAAGTCCACTTTGCTCTAGCTGTTCTGGAGATGGGGTCTTGCAAAGTATTTGCCCAGGCTGGCCTTGAACTGTGATCCTTCCTCATCTCAGCCTTCCAAATAATCATGAGCCACTGGCGCCTGGCCACAAATAAGTTTTTATAAAACTGAAAACAAAAACAAAAAAAATTAACAAAGCACAGAGCAGTCTTCATTGAGTTTATCTTACCAACTCCATTGTGTGATTATGGACCGAACTTACCAGCCCAACTAAGCTTCTAGGATACATCATAAGCCCACCTTATTCGCAGATTTACTACACACAGTTTTGGTCAAGTATAGTTACAGGATGGTGCAGTGCTGCTCTTCGTCTGGTGGCCTCTTGGGAAGCAACCAAGGGTACCAAGGGTCTACTGGATGAACCACTGCCACGGGGAAGAAGAGCTGGTTTAGCAAGAATTAAAAAAAGAAAGGAAAAAAACCCTTTGTACTTTAGAACTGACTGTCCCAGCTATATCAACGCTTAACAAACTTTGACTTGCTGAACCACTTATAAACAAACCAGTACATCTCTCAGCGTGCAGGTTCCATTTTTTTTTTTTTCAGGTTCCATTTTGATGTCAGCTCAGAGTGTACCACAAAGATGAGGTTCATTCTTCTCCATGACAAGTCAGGGGTGGCAAGGAACCTGTACTCAACACAAACACAGTTTTTTATCGATCTGTGAAGAAGAATACACTATGTATGTTGTATAGCTAGAAATGCCAGAAAAGAAATGGACTTCGAATTTGAGACAATGTTCCTAAAAATACACAGCAGAAACTCTCAAGAACAGACTTTATTTTTAACATAAAAGTTCTATTTTCTTGTGAGGCAGCAACGAGTGTTCAGGTACAGGGAATACATACGGACATAGTAACAATACCTATTACCACGGGAAATGCTGCTTTGGGGGAGGGAGAATTTTGTTAGAAAACAATTTTTAAAAACTGCATTTTAAAAAGATTTACACAGCTTTAACAGAGACAAAAGATGCAGAGTTTAAAAAGACATAAGTTATACTCAAAAGGACTGTATAAACAAAACATTGTTCAGGGCTACTCTCCTTACCACTAATTTAGGCAGAGTAAAACATAAATCTTAAAGTGCAGAGTTACATATTCTCAGCTTTATTTTGCAAATTCAGCACTTCCACTGGTCCAGTTTTGATACAACAAAAATCCAAGCATTAAGGAATGAATCTAAGTTTAGAACAATAAATTTACTAGTGGAAATTTTTCCTATTTTCCCTAAAAGAAAATCCTGACAACCCAGTCCTAACCTTGGGTACAGAGGTGGCTATAACCTCTGCCATTTTTATACTTCTTCCAGTGAAAGCCAACTATTTCTCAAAAAAGAAAAAACAAAACCTACCCTTTCATGTTGCCAGATATTCCCCAGTTAGCAGTAGCACCTTCCAAAGACTGATTTGGCCCCTGGAGTCATAAGTGTAAGGAATATTTTAAACAAAATGAAATATCTAGTTAAAAAATTTTGGCATCCACACTCACATTTAACCAAAGAGGTGAAGTCAATGATTTTAAAACATAACTGATCACTTAAGTCATAATCAGAAACAGTAAATGTGTCAGTTTTATCGTAAGGAAGAAATTGCTTAAGGGCAAAGAATAACTAGGACAAGTGAGTAACTAGAGAATAGCTCCTTTTGCTGAAAGATATATGCCACCCATTTTTCTTTTACTGAAATAGAAATATATTTTTTGATTAATTTTTAATTGGGAGCTGGGGATGCATTAGCCTGTGGTAGAGGGCTTGCCGAATCTTTATGATAACTAAGGTTTGATCCCCAGCACTGGGAAAAAAGTTAAATTATATTCCCACCAAAGCTAGTCTATTTATCTTCTGTACAGTTTTCTACAGAGTAACAGTGGAGTGTGATTTTAGAATACAATATTACTGCAATCTATTGAGAGTGGACCCATTTTTACAAAATCCACCTGGGAACTAAGGGTTAAATAAAACAGCTGGATGGACCTACGGCTAACATTTTTTAAGACCGTGATACAGCTTATGTGCTTAAAAATTAGCCCTTTGGCACTGGCAGTTAAGAGTTGTTTTGTACCTTGGACCTTATTTTCAAATCTTAGGCTCTTATTTCTCCTAAACCCAAGGGATAATATTTGGTTGCCATACAATTCATTTACCTACAAATTCACATTCTCCTTACAACCAAGCATTAGAATAGAAGCTCTACTTATAAGGTTGTAAATAATAAATATGAAACTTGTTCTTCCATTCTGATTTTAAATTACTTCAGATTAAGGATACATGAAACTCTACAAAAAGATGGGAATTTGACAAATGTGTACAATGGAGTAAAAGAAAATCTGTTACAAAGTAACATTCCTATAAAATACCTCTGAGACTAGTAGGGGTGGAGACAGAAAAGGAAAGGAGGTGTAAGGCAAAGGAAAAAATACAGACAATAGAATTTAAGTTAAAAAAAAAAAAGATTAACAAAACCTTGTTTAGCTACCTTCTAACCCCATTCATTAGCAACTCACCCAATTTTACCTTTTGTACTTCTGTTAGAACAGATAATCATTGTAAACTAGCAAAGTCAAGAGTGGTAATAAAGAACGCAAAGGAAAAAAACCAACCAGAAATTGAAAACCAATTAAGTAATTAAAAAACAAACAAAACAACAATCAGAAAATCAAGATCCCGCATGGTTGAATGTTAAGTTAGAAGCTACAATACTAGTTCCTAGCAAATAAAGTTTTGGATGGAAAAAAATAACAAAATTTATCAGTCTTACCAACTAGAACTGGACAGACTCAATTTAAATGTTTAAACTTATCTGTTTTACCTAAATCTCCATTTTAAACCAAATAGGACATATTTTAAATGCTTAGATGTTTTAAAGGTATTAAGTCCTTTCCGAAGATTTATTGCTACTCCTAGGTTTTCCTTCAGGGAATACTTTAAAATGGTATCCTTTTGTAAGGACTTGAGTTTTTGGTTTTTTTTTCTGCCTATCATTTGTATAGGATTAGTAAATTATTGCATCTTAAGATAGTATCTGAAGATATTAAAAGGATGCATTTTTCTCAACACTGTTTGCTGAAATTAATTCTTAAAAAAGAGTTGCTCCTTAATTTTACTACCCCATACTTAGAAATGAAATACTGTCAAGTGATACTGGCAATGGTTTTATTAGGATGAGGCCAAATCCAAAATTGTGTGGATTTTCAAAGGTGCCTTTTGTTTATGCTCCGAAGCTCTTCTCATCTGTTTTCCCCACTGTATGGAATGTTGGAGAAGAACCTAGCAAAATCTGTAGGCAACAAATCTTAGTGCCAACCATGTAAAGAAAAGTCAGTATCAAGATTCTGCAGCTACGGATTGCTATTCAATGGATTACACTCCTGGCAAATTACTAAACCCGACCAAATCCACAAAACAACATCACGAAAGCAAAGGAGGAAATCCATGCACAGCCATTTTAGGGTCTCTTGGGGCTATGATACAGTGATGATTAAAGGTAGAAAGACATTTGGCAGAGGAGGGCGATCACAATATACGTTTCACAGAAAACCAAAGGGCTCCTTACTCCTACCTAGCATTCAACACTGGATAGTTTCCTTTTTGGCTCACTGACTTTTAAACCAAGTTCCAATATGGGTGAGAAAATATTAAAGCACTTGTCTTTAGACTGCAACTTTTTTGACCACATAGTGAAATGTATACAAGAATAATGACGAAAACAACAGTTTTACAAATATTTCACTCAAAGCACAAACCTGACATCAAAAAACATAAATCACATAATGTAATACAAATATTGCTTCTTATCTCTTTTTATATATTTGTTCAATGCATTTACCTATCAATTCTTATTTGGGAGAAGAACATAGTCATGAGATTAACATTGTTAGGAAAACATCAACAATCCCTTTGGTCCCAAAGCTGAAAACAGCTGAGAAAAGCACACATCTAGAAAGGGAAACAAGAAACAGAGGCCACCAAAGAATCTGTTGAACATCCTTGTTTGCTACGTTTCAGAAATGTAACATTGGTATTATAAAATAGTAGTTTTCATATAAAAGATGGTTCTTGCAGCATCATCCACATCTCCCTCAGAAATCATGTTTGCAGGGGATCAGGGTGTGTGTGTTTGTGTGTGTGTGTGTGTGTGTATACAAGTCTAATTTGAAAACAAACAATGTGACACTGTCCCTCCAAAAGTAAAGAATGAGACCTTTCTTATTTCAATCAGTGCTTTAAGAAAAAAACAGGCTAAGCACTGAGGGTTGGTCTTCATGAGTGGGGCAGAGCAGTCAGAAGGGCTGCTTTCTTCCAGAAGCCTCCTGTCACATGTCATTGGAGAGCTGGAGCATGTCACAGCCAACCGGGGACAAATAATGCCAGCACAGTCAAAAGATGCGAGGAGGTCCTCAGTTTCTCAGAACCATGGCCACACAGCACTGGGACCTATCCTTCAGCTTCCTCAATTGGTTCTGGTGGTGGGAGTAGGGAGGCTGATGGCAGAACTGTACTGGTTCCTCGAGAGACTCGATCTTGCTCTGTGTTTGTAGAAAGGGAGGCCACGGCGATGGGCTGAAGCAGAGTGGTTGTCATGCCAGTGGTGACTGTTAGGCTGTGGCCAGAGCCCTTGAGGGTAAGATCCGGTGTGGGAAGGAGTGGCTTAAGGATGCTGACGAGGCAGAAAGCAGAGCCGCTTTTAGGAATGAAATTCACCTTGTTTTTGTCAGGACAGTAAAAGGCTGGGATTTCATGAAGTTGTTTTGGCCTAGATGCAGAACAGAGAACTCAATACTAAACACTGGAAATAAGTTCTCTTATTTTTTAAAACAGGTAACTTATAGATACACATAATAAATACAACTGAAGTTATGTCAAAAACTTCAAATGCCAAGGATCAAAGTGCTATTAGATACATGATCCAAATTATGTCTTCAAATCCCAGCAAGACAACATTCACAGTTGCTACTGCCACTTCCCCCAAGAGCCATGTTAACCATGCAGGGGGCTCAGGCTAATGACCACTGCATTTCAATGAAAAGCAAGATAGCCAGTAAGAATAATGAACTTCCTAAAGCTAAAGAAAATGTATATGTTTTTCTTTTTGTTTTTTGGTGGGTCTTGGTTTGTACTTGGCTTAGTGGTTGCAAAGCAGGCTGTCTATCATTTGAGCCATTCCACAAGGCCATTTTGTTCTGGTTATTTTAGACGGGGGGGGGGGGGGGGGGGGGGGGGGCAGTTTCCTGAACTATTTGCCCAGGCTGGCCTGGAGCCATGATTCTCTTGATCGCAACCTCCCAAGTTGATAGGATGACAGGCCTGAGTCTCTGGTGCCCAGCGAAAATCTACATGTTTAAAGACAAAAATATGTTCTACTACCATGATTTTTCCAAGGTCTTTATTATTCTGAAGGGAGACACAAGGAAATTAATGGTATATAATGTCCATATTTTGTCAAGTTCCATCACTGCAGGAATAAACCTTGGTAAGCATGGATTTTTCTGAGTGCTATTAAAACTCCTCTCAGAATTCTTTGAATTAACCATGATAATTTGTATGTGTGTGTGTGTGTGTGTGTGTGTGTATGTGTTTGTGTGTGTGTTACTGGAGTTGAAACTCAGGGTCTTATGCTTGCTATGCAGATATTCTTCCACCTGAGCTACCATCCCAGCCTTTTTGACTTTGGTTATTTTTGAGATAGGGTCTCACATTTATGCCTAAGCTGTCCTGAACCACAGTCCTCCTATTTACACTTCCCATATCAACTGGGATAACAAGGGGTGCACACCAACACACCTAACTTTTTATTGACTGAGATGGGAAGGAGGGGGTGTTTTATGAACATTTTGCCCTGGTTGTCCTCAAAAAACAATTCTCTGGATCTCAGCCTCCTGAACAGCTAAGATTACAGACCTGAGCCACCGCATCCACCCAACAGAGTTTTTCTGAGCAACATAATGTAAATGTAAAATCCAAATAGTCCTTTGTTTTGAAGGTGGTTTTTATTTTTTTTTCTTTTTTTCTTTCCCCACCCCCAGTATTTGGGATCAAACCATAATACTGAGCTGTATCCCCAGCCCTGAAAGTTACTATTGAAGCAGAAATTCTTCCCATTCTCTGATCCTCCTGAACACTATCCCAAATCACTGAAATGGATACTTCTGGTGTTAATGGTATTCCATGAAAATTAAAAATATTTAAATCATTAAACTGTTAAAGTGCCACAAAATTAAAATGAACTTAAGGTAGGAGAATCTGAATAGACCAAGACTTAGATTGAAAAGCTCGTATTACAGACGATGAAAGTATTCATCTCATCTCTCCCAACAATTCAGTTCAATAACAAGCTTATTGTGCCAAGTCAGCACTAGATTCTAAGAACAAAGCTGAAACAATCTACAAGGAAGAGATGGGACTAAATTCATAATTATACTCATAATTGTATTTCAATATAGTTTTCTTCATAATCTTAGGTGTTTATGCATTTAAAATATTATTCAGAGAACAAATCCGTAAGTTTTGCCAGACTGCCAAAGTTGTGCAGAACACAAAAGAGGTCACCTGAATCAGAGTTTGACAACAATGATTACAAAGTTTATAAAAGGCTTAGAGGTAGCACAAAGAAGAACCTGTGGCAGGAAGGAAGAGGGAGAATATGGAAGGAGGAAAACTTCTAAAAGGAAGTGATTTTTAAGCTGGGTTTTAAAGAATGAATAAATAATAGACCTAGGGCCTAGGCTCCAAAACCATGTGTGTTCCACAGATTAATAGTGAAGTTTATCCATAGATAGTATTGCCAAATGTAGCTATTTAAGAACAAAGAAAAGTACATTACTTAAATCATGTTTTACTTGTGCACTATTCTTTCTTGAATATAACAGAAACTTAATAGGTCAAATACTTTTAGAGCCACAAGTGTATCTGCATATCTTACTGATAGAATATATACCTTTGTATTTTTATCACCTATGGTATGTTTTTCAAATGCCTAAAGAAGATAGTAGTTAATGTTATGCTTCTGTAATAAAATAATGCTTTTCCTTTGAAGACAGGATTATTACAGATAACTTTCATTCTTACACTGGGGGAAGAGGATGCTAATCAGTTTTTATACCCCTATCCAAATAAGGACTATATTTTAATTAATTTACTTGTTTGAGGTTACTGTTAAAAATTACTTAAGCCAGGGCTGGGGATACAGCTCAGTGGGATCATGCTTGCCTAGCATGAGTGAGGACAAATACAGTGCGTTCTATTCCCAGCACTAAAATAAATATATATAAAAAATAAAAATGACTTAAGACATGTGGCTGCTAACAGGTCTCAAGGAAGAAACTTCACATTTCTGAAACAGAAAGAAACTTCCTGACTTTGTGATAAAGTTCTGAGTCTTGTTTTGTTTTGAATGACAAAATCTAAAAAACATTTAATTTCCTTGCTGCTTTTATGAAAACACTTATGACATACTTCAAAGAAAGTAACTTATCTGATGAGATCAATAAACACAGAATTGCCAGGTGCCAGTGGCTCATGTCTGTAATCCTTGTTACTTGGGAGACTGAGATTGGGAGGATCATAGCCAGCCCAGGCTATATAGTTTCCTTCATAATCTTAGGTGTTTTATGCATTTAAAATATTATTCAGAGAACAGATCCATAAGTCTTGCCAGACTGCCAAAGTTGTGCAAAACACAAAAGAGGTCACCTGAATCAGAGTTTGACAACCATGATTACAAAGTTTATAAAAGGTTTAGAAGTAGCACAAAGAAGAACCTGTGACAGGAAGGAAAAAATTTTGTGAGACTCCCATCTCAACAAATGGCTGCGCACAGTGGCATGTGTTTGTCATCCCAGCTATGTGGGAGGATTGGTGCGGCTACAGGCCGGTCTGGGTAAAAACTCTGCAAGGCTTCATCTCAACAGAAAAAAACCTGGGCATGCTGGGAAATGTAAAATAGGACTGAGATCCAGGTCGGCCAGGGTAAAAAGTGAGACTCTATCTCCAAAATAATCAGAGCAGAAAGGGCTAGAGGCGTGGCTTGAGCAGTAGAACACTTGCCTAGCAAGCATGAAGTCCTAAGTTCAAACTCAAGTACTACCAAATTAAAAAAAGGAAATATTAACAGTAAAAAGGACCAAAAATTTTCATGTCCTCTTCTAGTCACTACCCCAATCCACCAAGAGGAATCACTCTTCTAACCTCTCTCATTTAACTTCTAGGAGGACCTTCCTCAAGAAAGGCAACTCACCTATGATCTACTTATGAATACTTGTAGCTGACAGAAGTAGCAATATTACTTCTAAGCATTCTTCAACTTAAAAAACATACATACAAAAAAACCCTCCAATTTCATCAGGCCTCTGGCCTGGGGTACCCTTCTTCCCCATTGTTAGACATCTGGTTTGACCTTTAGACCTGGCTAACGATCCAAGGGTCTTGAAGAGGGCCAGGAATGAGGCTGAGCAGTGGGGGTGTCTGTGACCTTCCACTGTTATATGCATTCTGTGGATCTCAGGTAGGAGGGACCTAGTGCCCAAAGGCTGCAGAACCTCTCAGCCAGAGCATGAGGCAGGAGCCACATTAGAGAAAGAACAATTCTGAGGGAGCCTTCCCTTGAGCCCTGCACTGTTCCCCACTCCACCTCAAGCCCCTCCTTGCTGTGAAACTGAAGAAGAAGCTGGAGCAAAACTCTGAAGCAGCATGGGTATCAAAGCTCTGAAGAAAGAAAATAAGCAATCTGCAAGCAGGAGAGGACCACATGGGAGATAACCAGACCCAGGTGGGGCTCCTTCCAGCGGGGCTCTCTTTGGCAAGGTATTCAGCCAAACAACCATCTGTTTTGAGGTTCTATAAGTCAGTTTCAAGAACCAGTGTAAGGCCTGGGATATGGCTCAAGTGGTAGAGAGCTTTCTCTGAATTCAATCCCTAATACTGCTACACCTACACACACACCCCTACACACACACACACACACACACACACACACACACACACACACACACACACACACGTATGGCTCAAGTGGTAGAGAGCTTTCTCTGAATTCAATCCCTAATACTGCTACACCTACACACACACCTACACACACACCTACACACACACACACACACACACACACGTATGGCTCAAGTGGTAGAGAGCTTTCTCTGAATTCAATCCCTAATACTGCTACACCTACACACACACACACACACAAACAAACACACACGTATGGCTCAAGTGGTAGAGAGCTTTCTCTGAATTCAATCCCTAATACTGCTACACCTACACACACACACACACACACACACACAAACACACACATATGGCTCAAGTGGTAGAGAGCTTTCTCTGAATTCAATCCCTAATACTGCTGCTACACACACACACACACACACACACACACACACACACACACACACGCACGCGCGCGCGCCAAAAAGAAAAAAACAAGTGTAAGCTGTAGTACTTTATGGGTGGAGGACATTGACGAGGAAAGCAAAGCGGAGACCCTCAGGTGGGCCAAAAAAGAGAAATCTATGGAGTACGGGGCACAAGTGAGAGGCAACCTGGAGAACATGCTCCTGCAGTACTGAAACTATACCGCACAGCCACACTGCTCAGCAGCTTGGGCTCAGGAAGGACAGTGTGGCTCTGTAACTGACACTTTAAGGGCAAACAATCAGCAGGGGTTATTCCCAAGGAGTCGACTGAAGGTTAAAGAGTCTCCCTTCTCAGGGGGGCTTGTATACATTCTTCTGGTCAGAGTTTGTATACTGAATTTTAAATCAAAATTAAGACTGAGACAAAAATCTTTTTCCTTTTATTTATTATTTTTTGGGCAGTGCTGGGACTGAGAGAAAAGTATCTTTAAACAATGACTTAAACAGCTAAGCTTTTAAGTAATCTCCCTTTGCTTTAGTACTGGTGTGTCTATTAGGTTTTTGCTCTAACTTTGACATAGCGAGGGCAAAAAAAAAGAGTAATGTTTTTAAGGCTTTGAATAACTTGTTTTATTGATAGGAGATTAAAATTACTTTTAACAAATCCACTCAGGTTCCTACTCCTAACTAGTCTTTGGAACATAATTAAAATACCAATAGATTTCTGTGTGCTACGTTTGTGTGCTATACATCCTTTACACCAGTAAAAATTTATATTAAACATTACATCCAAAAAACAGGCTTGCCTTCTAATAACAGATTAATGTGCCATGAAACTGATCATATGTTACACTTTACCTTGTTTCTTTTATCTGTCTATCCATCAATCTATACTCTCTCTCTCTCCTCCCATCTTTTCTTCTCTCCCTTCAAATTTTATAGTAAAAATACAATAGCTCAGACAGTGAGTCTTGAGTAATTTTCCAAATGCAACAGTGTAAGTCAGGTAACATAGGACACTAACTTATATAAACAAATATTCAAGGTCATTTCTAAAAAGAAAATTCAAATTGCTGAGCTAATCAACCATTTCTCTGCACTTAGGCAAATCCTAATTCCCAAAAGTAAAACCAAAAGGCTCAATTCAAAATGGTACATTTAGGTCAACTGACTTTTACTCAATAGAAAGGACCTTATCTATTTAAGAACTCTAACAAAAAGGTCTTAGTCAGCATTTCAAAATTGAGATTCAAAAATCACATAAAGTACTTGGTAAAGATACAGAAAACCCAGGTTCTACTTCCATCTTTACTGATCTTTAGGCCTGGGTTGGGGCCTGGAATGTGCAATTTCAGTAAATTCCGCAGGTGATTATGATATAGGGAGTCCATGGAAAAAACTGTGGAAATACTGGCTTAAACTTAACTGACATCAGTTAAAACTTATAGGCTGACATGTTGAAAAAAAAAAACCTAAAATAAGCAGTTGCTAAAACAAGAGTTTTCAATTACTGTCACAGAAGCAGATAGACTGGCAGCTGGTGTTTCCTCGTAGAGAAGCTGAAGGGATTCAAAGACAATGCTCTTTTTGTGGCAAGATTATTCAGAATTTAGGTTAAAGGAAGCACCAATCAGAAGGCACATAAGAGAAACAAAAGGATGCATATTTAAAATCACTCCAAGATGTTCATGATAAGAAAAAGATAAATTGTGTGAACTCAAGAAGGCTGGACTATTCCATATTGTATTTTAGGTTTCACAGTAAGAAAACGCAAAAACAAAAGATGGCTCTAAGACTTGAAGCCACAATGAGATTGGAAGGTTAGGAGTAATGTACATCACTAATATGCACAATTTCATACATATTTCTAACCCTGTAGCCATCACCTATAAAACAAGAAACTACAGTTATGGAACGCACAAAGCTGTATACTTTCTGGGCAAAACATGAGTTTAAAATGAGAGCAGCCAACTACAGCCCTAGCCAACAGAAGATCAAATACCAAGGGAATTAAATGCTGCTACTTTAAAATTCTGCTTCTTGGGGATGGAGGTGTAGTTCAGTGGTAGAGTGCTTACTTAACATTCACAAGGCCCTGGGTTCAAGTCCCAGTAGTAAACCCCCCAACACCTCCCCCCAAAATCCTGCTTCTTAACATTATCTTCAACACAGTAACAAGAGTGATTCTGTAAAGTATAGAAATGTTTCCTGTATTGGAAAGGATTAAAAAAATTGTTTAAAGAACTGCAGACCAGCCAGATGCTGGTGGCCCCTGCCTATAATCCTAGCTGCTAGAGAGGCTGAGACTGGAAGGATTGCAGTTCAAGGTCAGCATGAGCAAACAGTTTCAGAGACCCTTATCTCCAAAACAACCAGAGCAAAATGGATTGAATGGACTGGAGGTGTGACTCAAGCAGTAGAGTGCCTGCTTTGTAAGCATGAAGTCCTGGCAGACTCTGATCCCACCAAAAAAAAAAAAAAAAAAAAAAAAAAGAAAAACAGAATTGGAGACTAAAAGTAAGTGAAAACTAAGAGGTGATTATTGAAAGAAGGAAACCTTGGGCAGGAAGTGTGGTTCAAGAGGTAGAGCTCCTGCTTTGCAAGCAAGAAGCCCTGAGTTCAAATCCCAATACCACCGAAAAAATAAATAAAAAGCTATCACACTGGGTGAAATCCATGGTCTAGTTTGATAAACACACTGCTAAATTTAATGCGTGAACTTGACTGGCTACAGGTGCAAAAAAGACAGTTACAGAAAATACTCTGGGGACAACTGAGGAAATCTGAACAATGGGATGTTAGCTTACAGACATTATTACTGTTAATTTTCTTTAGTGTGGTAACAGTATTGTGATTATGCAAAATGCTAACAATTATATAACCTCAGTGGTAGATAAATGGCAGGTCAATATATTATTCTTTCAACTTATGTGAAAATTCTAACAAAAAAATGGAGGGAGGGGTGAAAACTTACGAGCATTCCTCAAAGACTTTGACTCTTTCACAGCCTTCAGGAGGTTCCCTTTTAAACATGTAACTGTTGTTAGGTTTTGGTGAAGTTGCATATTTGGGCAAAGGAGAGTTGTTCCCATTCTCTGCAAGAAATGACACACTGGATTACTAAGAAATACAACACAAAAATACGCATTCATACTATATTTAATATTTTTGACTTTCCCCTGCACATGAACTACTTGAGGTTAGGAGCAGTGCTTTATTCGTCCACATCAGCCAAATGTCTAACACATTTCATTATTAAAAGAAGAGATAATAAATGTGAAATAAATACATAAAAGGCTTTTCTCTCTTTACTATTTATGATGATCATAGCCAGGTATATCACTTAATCCTCACTTAATGCACAGAGCAAATATACTCAAACACCATTTTCATTTTTCCCAGTGCAAATAAATGCACTGGGAAATGTTTTTCTTTTTTTTTTTTGGAGGTACTGTGGTTTGAACTAAAGACCTCATGCTTGCTAGGCAGGCACTCTACTGCTTGAGCCACTCTGCCAGCCCTGTTTTGTGTTGGCTATTTTTGAGATAGGGTCTCTGGAACTATTTGCCTGAGATGGCTTCAAACCACTATCCTCCTGATCTGTGCCTCCTGAGTAGATATGATTATAGGCATGAGCCACTACCTGGTTGAAATGTTGTTGTTTGTTTTGGTGGTATTGGGATTTAAATGCAGGGCCTTATGATTGCTAAGCAGGTGCTCTACCACTTGAGCTACTCCTCCAGCCCCTGAAATGGTTTTTCAGTTGCTTATTATTGACTGCTGGCCAGCCCTTCAGAATTTCTCAATTTGATCTCTCTGCTTCTCTGACTACGTTCTCTACTCCAGGGAGTCCTGGAGGCCACTGTACACCAAATACTTCCTTTTGCCTGAGCTTCCTCTCACCTACAAAAGGTAAGTTCTACTCATTTTTCCAAAAAACCCTTCAAAGTCTACCTCAAAGTTTCTGGAGTCTTTCCAATCTTAACACTATCAGATGGAACACTTCATAACTCTGATATTCTTGTTCAGTGCTGATGTCCTCAGTTTATATTATATTAGCTTAAAATTCTTGATGTTTGTTATACAATTTTCTAAATTTTCAATCTGTGTCAGCTAAAGTAAAAATTTCTTGCTGGCAGTAGCACGGTGGTTCAGTTTGCTTTCCCTTTTTTCTTCTTTGTTTTGGTGCTGGATTGAACCCAGAGCCTCATGCTTGTTAGACAAGTGCTCTACCACTTGATGTACATTCCCAAGCCCTTTTGGTGTTTGAGTTATGGTCTCACTGACTTTGCTCATGTGGCCATGTTTTCTTTTAAAAACCAACTGACCATTAGTTTCCTAAAATCAAATGCATCAGGACAAAACATTTATGGAATTCTATAAAAGCAGAGTATGGGAAACCAGAAGATTTTAATAGTCATGTCCTATCTGAGGTAGAATTTATCAACAAAAAAGATCCAAATAACAGGTTTCAACTGTCCATAGTTTAAAGTGACTTCTTCAGCAAATCTGTCTTCTGCACTTGCTAAGTTCACTGACGTAGATTATTAGTAGTAATGTCACAACAATGAATTATTTTAGGACATTCAACATACAATATATAGGAGGTTCTAAATAACTACTGAACTAAGCTATAGAATTTACAAGCAAATGTCACAGTATTGCTTTCAAGTACATACAGTAATTAGGATTAGGGTAAAAAATACTGTCCTGAGATAAGTAAGAAAAGATCATCATCTGTTTATTAAACAGTGTGATTATTTGTACTTAATATTCAAATTGCTTTTGTCTTCAGGTTATTTTTATGGTATTTAAGTATCCTCCAACTTGTTACTTCAGGCTTGTTTTGAACATTCATCTTGCTTCAATATAAATCAGTTTAGTCTTTACTAGAAACATCCTAAAAACACTAACTGGAAGACTTTGTATTTAATTGAAAAGTATTAAGGTAATAAAATCATGACTTTATGGTAACTTTTGTTGGTTTGTTTTGTTTTTTGTTTTACTGTGGTACTTGGGCTTGAACTCAGGGCTTACACCTAGATCCACTCCACCAGTCCTTTCTTTGTGATGAGTTGTTTTGAAATAGGGCCTCTTGAACTATTTGCCCAGGTGGCTTCAAACCACGGTCCTCCTGATCTCTGTCTCCTGAGTAGCTAGGATTACAGGCATGGGCCACCAGCATCTGGCTGTGGTAAATTTTTTAACCTGTGCTCTGATGCCATTAACCTGGTAACCTCCAGTGTGTATGTCCTGCTAGTGGTTCTCAGTTATCATTCAGTGACAAATTCCTCTAGCCTTATTTTACCTTTATCCCTTGGATCAACAAGCAGGTCATCAGCTGAACAAGGACTCTCCTCACTGCCTTCATTGGAGATGGTGAGGAAGGATGTTGGAGACACAGACTGAGAGCGGCTGCTGTTGTTGCTTCCCTTATCTGCCCCACCAGGGGTCTGTGTGTCAATGCTTCGTGTGCTGCTACTTCTCTGTGCAAGGGGAGGAGGTGCACGGTGGCCATCTGGAATATCCTGTGGCTGTTATAAAATTTTAAAAGTACACACGTATTTAGCATTGGTTTTGAAATTCACCAGTCATGTACCCAGTGTCAACCTTCCTCTGGTAGTGCCAGAATCTCATGAAAATCAAGTCTAATATCAACATGGTAGTGAATCCCCATGACCTCATCAGCACTCAGAAGGCTGAGGCAAGAGGATTGTGAGTTTAAGACCAACCTGGACCATTTATATTTATATATAAAATAAATAAATAATTAATTAAAAAATTGCCTCCTTACTGGGCTTTTGTATTGCTCATTAATGACATCTTTACCTAATCCGACTCCCCCACTGAGCATCTTGGGTGAAGAATTTGTCTTTCCAGGACCTGACACACAGAAGGCAGCTAATGCTTATTGAATAAATGAACTGCAGAATTATTTATCATGTACAAAATGTTATTTATTTTTTTGGCAGGACTGGGGGTTTAACTTAGGTGCTCTATTCCTTGAGCCACACCCCTAGTACATGTTACTTTCAAGATTATAAAGGATGATCATGGCAAAATAGGAGAAATCTAGGTATCACACTAGATTCCCTAGAAGAGGAAAGGGTTATCTACAGTATGAACTAGTGATACATTATGATAGGCCTAATGGAGGAGTGTGGGAAGTTGTTTTTTCTCTAAAAGAGACCAACCTTGCTGGGTGCTGGTGGCTCACACCTGTAATCCTAGCTACTTAGGATCCAGAGATCAGGAGGATCACAGTTCAAAGCCAGCCTGGGCAAAGAGTTCGTGAGACCCTATCTTGAGAAAACCCATCACAAAAAAGGGCTGGTGGAGTGGCTCAAAGTGTAGGCCCTGAATTCAAACCCCAGTACCACAAAAGAGAGAGAGAGAGAGACCAACCTTTTATTTATTTATTAAGGTTAGGTCTCACTATGTTATCCAGGTAGTTTCAACCTAGAGGTCCTCTCCCAGGTAGCTTAACCTTTTACCTCCTCTAAGCAGGTGCTCTACCACTTTAGCTACACCGCAGCCTTCAACCTTTTTATCTCATGGAGAGATCTTAAAACATCAGTAAAATATTACTTCAAACTCCTTAATTCTCTCTCTGAGGAACAGAGGCCTAGATAAATACACTCCATGGTATGATTTTAAATCTAAATGATAATTTTTCTTACTGTGTTTTGTACATAAACCATTTTTATATGTGCTAGTAGAAATACTAAGTAGAAGATCATTTCTTTTTCTGGCAGTTCTGGGATTTGAACTCAGGGCCTCATGCTTGGTAGGCAGATGTTCTAGCACTTGAGCCATGCCTCCAGTCCCTTTTTTTTGCTTCAATTATTTTTCAGGTAGCCCCTTACCAGGGGGCTGGCCTGGACCTCGATCCTTCTACCTATGGTCACCCACATAAGCTGGGATCACCACACCCACATTATTGAGATGGGGGTCTCTTCTAACTTTTTGCCCAGGCTGGCCTCAAAATGCAATCCTTCTTTGCCTCCTGAGTAGCTGGGATCATAGTGGTGAGCCACTACACCTGGCTAGATCACCTCTAATTATATTTCATGAACTGACCACAAGGAAAAGGTAGATTCTTGCTTAGAAAGAATCTGATGTCCTAAAACCTCCCCTCAAACTAGTAAGTTAAACTTTTGTTAAATGGAGTTATAGCAAATGAGAAGCATATCACGAGTCTAGTGGCTTTGAAAAACAAACAAAAAAAATAGTTTCTTTCAAAGGATTTAAAATTAGATCAGTTGCCTCTGTGAGATGCAAAGAAATGAAAATTTTTCAATCACTTGCCAAGTCCAAGTCTTTCAAAAGAGATAAAATTTTCACTTTTTCAATGAGAAGGAAAAAATCTAAGTAAACATGGAAAACAAAATGGCGAATTTTTAAATAATTAAAGAGTTCATGTAAAGTTGATTTTAAGATGTTAAGATTACTTACTATAAGTTGCTCTTCCTTTTCCCCAGTCTCCTTAATTATTATTTCAATCTCCTGATTTAGTCCTTCCACACTATTCCGGAACCGAGAACCAGTTGATTTGGTGATGGGAATTACTGGAACAAGTGTACTCTTTGGAACAGGAGCCTTAAGAAAATGAGGTGAGGAGAAGGAGAAGTTGTTTAATATTGTCTTTTAATTCTGTAGATTGAAGCATACTTCAAGTTGACATAAGTAACTCAAAAATAAATCAAAGTCAAGTTTACAGGCCTCAAAAAAGCCTGAGTATATTCTTAGAATATAGGAAATATAATTTAAAGCCAAAATCCCAGACAGCCAAGGCAGTATTTCGGAAATTTATCCATATCCATGAGAGACCAGAAAGGACATAGGAATAAATGAAAATATTAAAGGAATGCCTCAGAAATTCTTTTATGATTGTTACAAAGTTCAGACTTCAGAACTTAACTTTAAACTCTCCTAGTGCCACTATTATCTGTATTTTAGGAAACCAAGTAGTTTATTTAAAAAGAAAAATATTTTGGCTGGAAAAACAAAACCACTCCCAAAGTCCCTGTATAGTAGCAAGATTAGAGAATTAGAAATAGCCTTCCTGTGAAATTTACTTAATTATACCTTAATTATAATGTTTTTTTATGTTTGTACAGGAAATAAAATGATACAATGTATTTTTCTTCTTTTTTCCAAAGCCTAGCTCTAATATTTTTAGATTAAAAATATTTTTATTGTCATGGTATTTTTTAAAAGAAATAACTAATTACATAATTATGGGATACTACCTGGGTTTCTGACAAGATACTCAAAATATGAAACAAGTACTAAAGAGGTAGCCACCAAAGTTAATAGCAATGGTGTGCAGATCATCATCATGCACACTTGTCCTCCTGTGTGATTGAGAGGCATGATTAGCTCCGCTTCCATTTAGGCAGGTTTCTTTGAAAAACCTCTTTCTGGGGAAGCAGGCAAGGACACAAATGTTACCAGGGCTCTACTCAATGATCTCTAGCTTCATTTGATGGATAACCTTGCTTTCTGATACAAAATTTAGTATGAAGTCTGTATTTCTCCTCTTTTACTTCTCCTAGTTTTAATACTTAAAAAAAAAACTGTAAGCATGTTCCTTGAAAAACATGGAAATTTCTAAGAAAAAAGCTATGGGAAGGTTCTGCTCTGAAATGCCAAGGGGCACCTCTTAGCTGCTCCATTAGTGTTGGGCCCTGGCAACCTGCCTCATGGTTTTGAGAATGAAATGAGAGGGTACTTGGCACAGTGCCTGTCCCATCATGGATGGAAGCTCTGCAAACAGTGGCCATAATTTTGATTTTGTATTTTCCTTTATATGTATTTTATTCTTAAGATAATTTTTTCACATTTTTCAAGTCTCATTTATTTTCTTCTACATAAGGTACCTACTAATTAATCATTCCCTGTTTTAAGCTCTCTGTTCCCTTATCTCACCATACCCTCAAGCTTCTCATACTATTCATCCACTTTTTACTTCCAACTCCTTTTATCTTTTTCTGTTCCCTCTTCCAGTCTTGGCCTATACAATCAAAGGAAAGGACATGACAAATCTTAAATTCAGATATTCTATATATTTTTTGTTTGTTTTTTCTTGTCTTTTCTTTTTACTCTTTTTTGGGTTTTTTTGGAGAAAAGGGTCAAGCCCAAGCTGGCCTGAAACTCACCATGTAGGCCCAACTGGCCTCAAAGTTGCAATTCTCTTGCCTCCACCTCTTGAATGTTGGGGTTACAGGCATTCATTACCATACCTGACCTTTTACAGGTGTTTTAGAGAGAGAACTGACATAATTAAAACCTGTCTACTGCTAGCAGAGTGGCTCAAGTGGTAGAATGCCTGCCTAGCAAACGTGAAGCTCTGAGTTCAAGCCCCAGTACCATAAAAAAAAAAAAAAAAGTTCAGTTCTCCTATCTTTGAGCCATTCTTCACAGTATAGATCTTTGAAGCGCTGATACACCATTTCTAAAACTGTTTCTGAGGAAAATATCCACATTCTCAGTGTACTCTCTTGCCCTATTCCATTCTATCTGAACACTTGTCATGATTAGACTCCTTCTTGCTTTCATAAGTGGTGACAATTCTACATTCAACTTGGTTGATGGCTAAAGCTAAATCAGTGTTACAGAATAATACCGGTGGAAAATAAAACCTTAACTCACCAATATTCATATTTATAAAAATTTAAATTTCTGATATAACCTGGAGTCAGGTAAACGATACATTCCAAGTTAGTTAAAGAATGATGGGATTTTCAGACTAATGGTTCAGATTTACCAATAGAAAATTATGGGGCTACAACTTGACCTATATGTTTTCAAAGATTTAGCACTGAACCCAAAAATACAACAAAAGCACAGGGGGAAAAGAACCATATAAACCTAAGTTCTCATCATTTTTTGTTCTACTTATTGGAATAAAGTGTCACCCATCCAGAGTCTTCACAAAAGCACAAAATTAAACATTCTTCCTTTATCTCCTAGTGTTTCAGCTGGTCAAAAGTCAATAAATGCATATACAACAGACACATACACGTATTTTATATTTCACACAGAAAAAGAAAGAACAGGGGCTGGGCATGGTGGTACATGGCTGTAATTCCAGCTTTTGGTGGAAGTGGAGATCAGGAGGATGATGGTTTGAGTATGGCCTCAGGCAAAAAGAACAAGACCCTATCTGAAATACAACTAAAGCAAAAAAGAATTGGGGGCATAGCCCAAGCAGAAGAGCATCTGCCAAATCATTTTCACAGCTGTACAGTGCTTCACTATGCATGAGCACATTAAAAATGTTACTGGACAAATAATCTCAACCTTTCCACTATACCAAAGCAAACGTTACCACGAGCAGCTTCTTTGATAAATACTGCACGTGTATAAATATTTCCTTAAGATAAATTCTTGGCATACAGGGAACTATTGGTGCAAAAAATAATTTTTCTGGACTTTGATCCATAATGCCAAGCAGACTGACAAACTTCTATAGGTGCTGTATGAAAACACAGGTCCTACCAATGTCTGAACACTGGCTTTATTTTTTCTTCACCACTGCTAAGTTTTATAGATTTAAAAAAAGGCCCATTCCTTTAATTTATATATTGTTGAATGTAAGTGAAGGTGAATTTTTTAAACTACTACTAGACATTTGTCCATTGTGTAGACAGTGGTCTTTTTCCCCCTTTATTAGCTTTTTATATTATTTACATATAAACCCTATATCATATACTATACATTGACAATACATTTTAATTCTTATTCAAATTTTAAACATTTTTCACAGTATGATTAAAGGCCATTTTTATGGTTTTTGTCTTTCGTTCTTATTAGGTTTTTAGTCATTTGACCCTTAAGTTTAAAGAGTTGCTACCACAGTCTTATATTGTGAATATTTTCTGTTAGTTCTTTAAAACCTCATTTATGGTGTTTTCTATTATGCAAAAATTTTCATGCAGTTAAGTTTAAAAATCTTTACTCTTTTGTTGATAATGGATTCTGAGTCCCAGAAATCCTTTCCCCATGGTGAGTTGCCAGGAAATTCACTGAATATTTTCTTCTAATGCTTAATGGTTTCACTGTCTACATTAGATACCTAATCCATTCAGAGCTTGTTTTGTAGTATATGGTAAGGTGTAATTCTACCTTTTTCCAAATGACTACTAGTTGTCCTGGTACTAGTTATTCAAAGTCCACCTCTGACCAGTGACTTGAGATGCCTTTACAATGTTTCAAATTTCCATGTACATGTACATGACTTAATTTGTGGGCGTTCTATCCTGCTGCTCAGTTTATCTATTCATGCACTAGTGGCACGCTGTTTTAATTAAAGCAGAAGCTTTGGAGTAAGTTTTGGTGTCTGACAAGTCCAAATGTCCTGTTGGCTTTTCTTTTTCATAGTTTTCCTTGTTACACTTGAATGTTTGCCTTTCTCCATGGACTTTGATACCAATTTGTCTAACGCCATAATAAAGCTTGTTAACACAGGTATTTTTATTGGTTAAGTCTGCTAACTGAGTTAGAGAGTGCTAGCAAACACAGCCCACCCAAGAATAGGAAATTTTATTTTATATTTGTTCAAGTCTACATTGTATTTTCAGAAGTGTGTTAAATTTTCCTCTTACGTATTTTGAAATTTTATTAATTTCACTCATAAATATTTAATCTTTGCTGTTGCTATTACAAACTAGGTTTTTCTCTATCATTATGTCTTCTACCTTGTCACCATTTGTACATATGTTCCTTGGTCATTAAAATGTCAAGTATTGAGCAATCTGATTTCTACATGCAACTTTACCAGCATAAGCAAGCTGCAAAGTAATAGGATGTCCTGCATGACTAAGTAGCTAGAGAGGTTAAAGGTCACAGAAGAGGCACCCAAACCAATTATTTTAGATTAAGAATAGTTGCCCTTTCATAGTTCATTCCTAAAATAATTAGGTATCAGTCATTCAAGAGGTGAAAATGGCTTCACATATTAACTTTTACTCCATGAGCTATAAGATGAACAGAAACACACTGTGCAAAATGATAATGCAAAGATCACCACATCCTAGCACGCAAAAGCCGTGTGTGCGCACATAAGTACTTTGTATGTTCTAAGTGTTAAGTCATAGCAAGAGCACTTCATTTCAAATTTATTATCTTTTAATCTGAAAAACCATTTGCGGATGACAAGTTACCCATGCTTCGTCACAATGATTACTTTAATAAAAAATTGGAAAATAACAATGATTAACAATAGAAGATAACAATGAATATTCATAACATGACATGTCACAGAACGTGAAAAATCATTCTTTTGACATCTTAACAATGCCAACAAAATCTTTGCACTCAATGTTAACAAGGAAATAGAACAGAAGATTTAATGCTTAATTTTATTTTAAAAAAATAAGTAGCATTTATTGAGCTAGGAACTGTTCTAAGCATTTTGCATACATTTCATGAAAGCTCTAGAAGATAGGTAATATTATTATCCCCAATTTACACTTAAAAAATGAGTCTCTGAGAAGCTGACTAAGACAGGGTCACAGAACTGGGACTAAATTTAGAGTTCTACCAAACTATTCTTGGTTGGGTATAGTAGCTCATACTTGTACAATCCCAGCTAC